GGGCGCTCGGTCCCCCCCCCCCTACTTCCCTGACTGCCGGCCTGCCATGCTCGGATCAGGGTCAGGTATGGATATTGAGTGGGACCCCGCAGTTTTTTTTTAAATTTCAGCGTGGTAGTGTCCCCCTTAATATCCATACCAGACCTGAGGGCTTTGGTTATGGATGAGAGGGGGGACCCACGGCTCAGTTTTTTTTTTTTTTGGTTTATTATGCGGCACCTTTATTTTACATTCAGCTGTTCATATAATAGAATATTATCTAAAACCTATGAAAATTAGTATAATTCACTTACAGAAATAATTATAAAGGATAAGCGAAACAAAAAATAGAATCACTAAAACTACGGAAATCAAATTAGAATACATAAGATATGCAATGCTGTTTATTAAACACGGTAAGACGCGCCGAGTGTCGGCCCTGTCAGAGGAATCCACACTGAGATTTACTATTGGGCAGTGGCTAATAAGCAAGCGCCTGCAGAGGACGTCTAACATGTGTTCTGCACGCATGCGCACGTTATATCGGCCAAAGACACTGCACGGACGTCTAGATTTTCTTACTGTGTCGATTTCCTTTAAAAAAACGATTTTTTAACACATTCTTAATTTTTTTGGAATAGCAGATATTGTTTAAAGTGAAGTCCTGATATTTGGCAAAGCAAATTTCTAAGTGGAACATGTCTCTGCAGTGAATTTTTCATGATGTTTAGACGTGCTTCTTAGCAAGTCTGCTTTGTGAGTCTGTTTGCCGGGCGTGTGGTCTCGTTAGTAAATACGATTGGGCGTCTATTTAATGGACGCTGCTCAATAGTAAATCTCTTTGCAGGGTAAAAGTAGACAGTCGCTCATAAAAAGTTAGACGTTCGCCCACGAATATGACGCCCAAGCCCAATAGTAAATCAGGGCCTATTGCTCTACTACAGGACCCTATAGTAATCTAAGATCTGATGGGTGAAATGGCAGAGGGAGGGAAAGCAAGGGAAACAGTAACGCCTGCTGTAGCATTTACGCCCCCCTAGGAGTCGCAGAGTTATTTTTCAGGTTCCCTGTCGCTTTTGATCCCACTCTGATAGTCCCCAACCCCTGCTGACACCACCATACACTTCTGGCCACAGTAATTACCATAAAATGACTCACACACAGATATTTTTTTTGTTTAGAACTGAATGTGGCCACAGTAATGCAGCACACAGAAACAGGCTTGGATATTATGACAGTTTACTTTATTTATTTCAGGTACTTATATAGAGCTGTCAATTTACTTATGTTGTGGACTTTTGAATCATGTCTCAAAAATATGACTTTTATCAAGACATAATATTATATGGCTAAACAGCTCAGCATAGCCGAATGCTAAGAGTTAACTTTGTCTTGGTTGAACCATCAAGTAAATTCTAGTTAAAGAAATATAGAGAATGGGGGAAGTGAGTCTTTTCCAAGACAATAAGCCTGTTTGAACTGTCAACAAGGATTATTTGTATAATAGAGGTTGAGAAGAATGCACATACAGAGAAGTCAAACACATAGCCAGATAGGACTTTGACTTTTAAACATTTCAACAATAATGAGACGGGAACTCAACTGGTTGAAAGCTTAACCAAAACCTGTAGAAGTGTGATGATGAACTAACAGACCTCTGAAACTATTACCATATACTATTGTTCACCAAGGGTGAAAGCATTAACAATTGTTTACCATGAGCCCAATACAAGGGCCATGCAAATAGAGAGTTTTTTTCCCTACACAGAGAAAATGTTGATTCTGAAACAAAGGGGTGAAATTCAGGACATTTAAGTTTAAAAAGTTCACTGTATATCATGACAAAAATATACTACAAAAACATATCATAAATTAAAGATGTTATAGATTTTAAACACCACTAAATACCTCAGCAATGGGAACTATATATCACTAATTTGAGTATTGAGATGATGGGAAGTAAGATGTATTATAGACTAGCATTAGTTACATGTCTTATCAGGAAACAAACAGGATGGTACTTCAAGGGAGGAATAACCGAATATACACCTATATTCCCATGGTCCCTATTTAGAATAATATAGGTATCACTGCTATATCTGGATAGAGCCGTATATTTTATTCCTGAAATTACCTGAAGATTCCACCCAAGGTATGAGTCATTCTCAAATACTCACATTGTTCTGTGATACATGACCGCCACCTGGCGGGCAGCAGTGTGAGAAATAGCTTATGTACACACATTTCTCAACTAGCCAATCAGGAAGCTGGTGGGAAGGTATCTTAGAACAATGGACTAGTGGATATAAAAGCCCATGTGCTTTAAGAAAAAGAGATCCCTCATAAAAAAACCTCATGGAAAGACCTGACATCTGAAGAGATACTGCTGAATAACTACTCTTCCATCTTTTTAAAACTTCCTAAAACTTTTTAACCTCTAATCTTATAACTCCTACATTCTCCCCTATGAGAATCTTTCACTTGCCCTATATATCAGTCTAAAAAGGCGTTCCACTGCCAGCTAAATCCACGGGAGAGTTGCCTAGTCTGAATTCCGGGTGTGGTGAGATATTTAATTTGATTTTTTTGTATTAATTATTTTCTCTGTTGTGTGGAATCATAAAAATTACCTTAGTGTATCATTACAATATTGGGTAGTTAAGATATATGTAGAAAGATACTGTGTTACTGTTAAAAATTGTTTTATTAGCCATATTATAATATAAATTTTTTCATTTTTTCATAATTTATTGAATATTAATACCCAGAGTATCATATATCAATGCAGGATTCCTTCTTGCGATCCTATGGCCACGGCTTTGTAAGGGGAATATAAACCTTTGAGATATTTCGAAATGCTTATTATTTATTAATAAATTTAATAAAATATCATATCAATTTAAAATTTGTGATTGATGTAATTAGTTTAGAGACATTATTAGTGTGTCTTACATTGGTAGGTAAAATATCATTTTGATTGTGTGTACCAATATTTCATTTATCACCAATCTTTGCGTTTCGTGTTAATATATATATAATTTTTGTACATAAATAAAATTTTTTATATTTTATCTATTATAAGGCAAATTTTGTGTGTATGGTACGAAATCATATTGGCTAAAAGAATTCAAGGTTATCAAATAATAAGTGGTGATCAAATTATCAAAGTGTCCAAATTATTGGTTTATTAAATATTTGCCGTATTTTAACGGCTGGAGGCAACTGTAATATTTCATCTAAGGGAAAGGGACACGCCCTTTATAAAAATAATAATATCTTTCCTTACAAAACCACCACAACACTTAGTGCTTTACATATATATATAATCATAATATATATATATATATATTGTACATTCACATCAATCCCTGGGTGTACAATCTAAGTTATCACTCTTAGTCACTTTAAAGTGTTACCAAACCCACAACAGTACAATCAGTCCGTATATGCAGTAAAGCATGCTTGGTATACTCACTGTGGAACCTAAGGGGTTAATCCTCTGCATTGTGGAAAAAGGCTGTTTGATTCTTTCTTCTCTGTTCCTCCCTGTTTTCAAGCAACCACCTCTTATCTCCAGACTGAACCGTAGCCATGCACATGCTCAGTTTAGTTTGTATTTCTAGAGAGTTTGTTTTGTTTCTTGGGAGAGTGCACGTGATCAGCACAGGGCCAATCAGCAGTGCCCAGACATTGGGTCAGGGGATTTCCATCCTCCTAGAGCAGAAAGAAAACTCCTCCTACAAGCTTTAGCTAGTGCAGAGCTGGACATTGATAGAAGCCACAAGACTGCTCTAACTGCTGATGAGAAAAGGTATTTAGCCGTTTATATTTACTAAAATAACTGTACTCCCATGTGCTGTGTACTGTGGGAGACTGGATATGATGGATGCAGGGTTCGGGGTTTAGTAACACTTTTAGCAAAAGTCAACACATTCAGCAAAAATCTCAATCAGTTCTGGATGTCCTGCAAATGAGAATTTAACCAAAGACCTCAACTCCGAGATGTTTCTGTTCCCAGTGAGCAAAGGAAAAACTACTAAAGAGTAAGGTTAGCTCACTTTTGGCCCTCAGAAGCTGATGACAAGGTTAGAATCAGAGGTAAGGAAAAAGCTCTTTAATTAGGAAGGCTAAATTCCATTTAACTACAGTGGAATATATTCTGCATGCACGCTGGGGCCCAGTTGGTGCACTACAAGAATTCAAATCTCCTTGGATACAGTAGGTGGAAATTCTTTAAAGGATTAATGCAAGAACTGGAACTACCCCTTTAGGTAACATTCAATTTAGACAGTATCCCTTTTGATATTCAAACTGAGTTGAAGATTTTAAACAAGGGGGTTTGTAGAGTTGGCACAGGCACTTGTTGGCAAAGGTTGATCCCTATATAGGCTACCATAGCAAATTGCAGCAATGGAACCCAATGGACAGTTTCCCTTAACCACTTCAAGTCCGGACACTTTTACCCCCTTCCTGTCCAGGCCAATTTTCAGCTTTCAGTGCTATCACCCTTTGAATGACAATTGCGCGGTCATGCAACACTGTACCCATATGAATTTTTTAGCATTTTTTGAGACAGATAAAACTTTATTTTCGTGGTATTTATTCACCACTGGGATTTTTTTTTTTTTTTTTGCTATATAAATGAAAAAGTCCAAGATTTTAGAAATAAAAAAAAGTGTTTTTCTTATAAAAGTTTGCAAATAAATAATCTTTCTTTATAAATCCTGGCAAAAATGTATTTGTGTTATCTTTTTAGTAAAAAAAATAACGCAAATTAGTTTATAACCAAAAATTATAATTTTGAAAACATTTTTTTTTAACATTTTTTTTTTTTTTTATATATTATTATTTATGGGTTTTTTTTTAACATACTATCACCCTAGCAGTACAGTGTCACCATAGTGTGGGGGGTGATGAAGATTTTTTTTTTTTTTTTACACTGATTGCTTTTACACCCATAAAGGCTGCAAAAGCAATAATTTCTCCTTCTCTTTGGCTGCATTCTTGCAGCCATTGGGAAATACTGTGTGAGCTGTGATTGGTCACAGCTTGTCACATGGTACAAGGCTGTTGTGAATAGCCTTGTACCATGTGACCTCTGTGATCATTCACATATTTCACTAGTAGTAAGCAATGATGTCAGAAGTGACATCTTGCTTACACCTATTCATGTGATCACTGATTGGCCAATCAGTGATCACATGAATAGGTGTAAGCAAGATGTCACATATTTCACTAGTAGTAAGCAATGATGTCAGAAGTGACATCTTGCTTACTTCTATTCATGTGAATACAGATTTGCCAATCAGTGATCACATGATCGGGAACTAACACAGAGGTCCCGTACAGTGATCGGTGTTCCGTAGGAAACAGCAGGCACTGGATCGCGGTGCCACGCACTCCCAGGAAGCGCGCACAATCCAAAATGATGGGCGCCGTTTATGAACAGCAACCCGCCCCTGCACTGCCACCATACGGCCGTTTGTATACATTGGCTGGACAGGAAGTGGTTAATGAAATTGGACCAAATACAATAGAATCAGTGGTGTGGCTTGGCCCGCAGAGGGCAGACACTGCAATAGGCTCTGATGACTGGATTATGCTGAAAATGTGTTTGCTAATAGGCCGTGTGAACTAGGCCTCAACATGTGTAACTTGTGAACAATGTCAGTAACTAGATAGAGAATGGCTGATTGAAAAGAATGTCATGGATAACTTAATTGGCTGGAGAATGGGACTCTCTTTTGCCGGATTTGTGGCATCACTAGGTTCTCTGGTGGTCTCTCTGTAGATGGGAGCCCCCAGCAGTCCTGCGGTTCCTCCTGCAGAGTTGGTTCATGACAGCAGCACTCTGGGTCTCTGGCCAACTGGGTAGTTCTCCAGATTCTTTGGCGATGTCAGCGATCAGCTATTCCTCCTTTTCTCTCCACTTTCTATCTCTTTGTGGCCTAGTCCAGTCCTCTGGTGTTCCGCACAGCCTTCAACGCATTTTTCTTCCACCCTTCTCTCCTCTCACTTCCTACCCCCGGGCTCCCAGGCTTCTACCTTTATATCCCTCTGCCCAAACACCAGCTCCTTTGGGAAATGTAGTCTTCTAGTTCACTGCCATCCAGCAAAGTCCTTCAATTCAGCCTACAAAATCCATAAAGCTTTTCACTAGAGTGTGAGCCACTGAGATCTAGGACACTGCCACCTTGTGTCTCTTTAACATCATGCAGCCTGAATAATAGCAGGGTGTTGCACTGCAAACCCAGAAGTGTTGGATAGCATTTATGCCCATAACCCTGGAAGAGAAAGAACACTGGATTTCAGTGCCCACCAGACAGGTACGTATTTAGCTTCTCATTTTACAGAATGTTTTTACCATAGCAACAGAGTTCATTTAAAGTGTTACTAATCCCAGGACCCCGTCTTCACTATATCTGGTCTCCCACAGTACACAGAACATGGAAGTGCAATTATTTTAGTAAATATAAACTGCTAAATACCTTTTCTCATGAGCAGCTGGAGCAGTCTTGTGAGTGTCCAGCTGAGCACATGTTAAAGCTTGTAGGAGGAGTTTTCATTCTGCTCTGGGAGGATGCAGGACCTCTGACCTCTGTCTGGACAGCGCTGATTGGGCTGATTGGCCCTGTGCTGGTCACATGCACCCTCCCTAGAAAAAATAAAACTTCTCTAGCAATACACACCAAACTGAGCATGTGGACAGGATATGCCTTATCAGGAGATAAGGAGACACTGGAAGAAGGGGAGAACATACAAATTCCAGGTAGGTGGTGCCATGGTTGGGATTCAAACCAACAACCCTAGTACAGCCAGGCGGAAGTTCTAACCATTTATCCACTATATCCGGTCTCCCACAGTACACAGAACATGGAAATGTAATTATTTTAGTAAATATAAACTGTTTAAAAACCTTTTTTCATCAGCAGTTAGAGCAGTCTTGTGACTTCTATCAGTGTCCAGCTGAGCACTGGTTAAAGCTTGTAGGAGTTTTTTTTTTTTCTGACTCATGACTGTCCTATGAGGCTGCATGACCCCTGACCCTCTGTCTGATCAGTGCTGATTGGCCTGTATTGATCACATGCACCCCTCCCCCCAAAAAAATCTATCTAGCAATACACACCAAACTGAGCATGTGCAGAGTGACTCCTAGAGCTCTGTACTATCAGGAAATGGATTGAGGACAGTAGAAGAAGGGGAGGATCAGAGAAGACAGGATCAAACAGCCTTTTTACACAATGCAGATTAACCCCGTAGGTTCCACAGTGAGTATAATAAGCATGCTTTACTGCATATACAGACTGATTTTACTGCTGTGAGTTTAGTAACACTTTAAGTAGCGGATGTGTATATTATTGTTGGAGAATAAGGATATGGTTTAGTGTCACTTTATGGATAGTTGTGGGGGTTATAGTGATCCTGTTAATTGTTCATGCTTGTCAAGGTCCTACCTTTTCCCTGAGGTTATGTTACTCCATGTGCTGGCGTCCATCTTGGATTCTGCTGTGCATGATGGGAGTCCTTTTTTATGCCTTCAGGTCTCTGAGGTCCACCCCCCAGAGGGGCGTGGCTGATGACATATAAGCCTGTGGTCCGCACATGCTCTTTGCACTTGTGTCTTGGTGTTACTATTACTCTGTTCTGACTCTCGTGACTCTCCTGGTATTCTGATTCGGCTTGTGACTTGACTATTCTTTGTATTCTCCTTTGATCTGACCCTCTGTTGCTGAACCCGGCTTGTGATCTGTGATTCTCGTCTGCTGTCCTGTACTGTTTTGTCCTGTTGTTGTTGACCCCGGCTTGTCTGACTACTCTTTTGTTTCTTCCACCAGCTACACGCCATTGGTGGTGGCCATTACCGCAGCTGAGGTGTCTCGGGGGGCCGCGACCTGGTTCCTGGCTGTGTCAAGTCCATCCCCACCATCAGGGGCCTTGGTGAAGGGCAGCCTGGGACTTAGACTCCGCGCCCTGAGGGACTTCGGTCTGTGGGTGGTGGTTGTCGTCAGCCAGTGCGTTACATTGTTAGGCCTGCCTGTCCGTTCCTCGGCTCCTGCCCCTGACATTACACAAGTGCCATGAACCCTGACGGTGCAGGCACGCCTTCGCTGTCCCAACGCTAGTCGCCAGACTCGATCAACAGGATCACCTGTTGGATCAGTTCGCTCAGGCGTTGCAAACTCTGCTTGCACGCACTGCACACCTTGCTCCTGGCGCTATTAGGCCGGTAGTCACTCCGGTGGTCTCCCCCGCTGCTTCTCCGCCTATTGCGTCCACCACCTCGTTGGCTGCATCAGCGCACACCCAGAGGTATGACTGGCTCTGCCCCTCTTCCACAGCGCTTTGGGGGTGAGCCGAGTCAGTGTCGTGGGTTCCTCAACCAGGTGGGTATTTATTTTGAATTAATACCCCATGCCTTCCTGTCTGAGAGGTCAAAGGTTGGGTTCCTAATTTCACTACTCTCAGACAAGGCCTTGGCCTGGGCAAATCCCTTATGGGAGAGGAAACGACCCGGTGATTCAAGGTTTTTTCCGGTTTT